CCAAAGCTGAGAGCGTTTGGACCTGTATTGTCTGTTTTAATGTGGCTTCTGTCAGTGTTACTCATGGCCCGGTCTGCTTGATCGAGTACTTTGTAGGTGTGGCATTCAGAACCCAGCGCTATAAAACAGCAAAAATGAGCATTACAGTGTTGAATCAATGTCATCCGAAAACTGTTTTAACAAAACCTAGCTGTAAGGAGTGTTTTCACACTCAATTTTACTCTAAGGGCCGAAAATAACTCAACTTATTTTTCCACAAGTAAGAGCAAGTAATCTCTATATGACAGGTGACGTCCTTCTTTTCTAACCTGAAGAGATCAAGAGTATTGCTACACCGTCCGTCTCGATGTGATACTAGTCTATAGCAAATTGCTTCCACCCTTATCCCCCTTCCTCCCCTCCCCACTTCTTCAGGTTGCCCCAGCAGCACTCAGCTAAGTACCCGCCTCGACGCTACGGGCAGATGAGCCTCACCTGATCCAGGTAGTCCCTCATACCTGGATCATGTCAGACAGACAAACAAAACGACAGATAAATTGTCGCACAGACAGACAAAGACGCTGACGGTCAGTCAAACAAAAGGACGGATCAGAAATGATTTGGGATGCATGGATGCATGGATAGATGCAATGACGGATGAGCGAATACATGAGCTTAGTCGGGGTCATTGCAGGTGGGGTGGGATAAGTGTCTGATTTCAGTCAGTGTGACTATTATTTACCACTCAGTTATGAAATAAAATTCCCACTAACACTTATGGTTGCCACAGTAACGTGCAAAGCAAATAGGAGCGGGTGGAAGCTCATACACATAGTAACCTCCATAGTTCAAGATCTTGATGTCGTTTTTCCACCTACAGCAGTTGCCATCCCAGAGGTAACAAATTTCACGGGTAACTATTCCTTCCTCGACAGCTGGGTGTTTACCATTTAACCAGCCAGTGGCCGCGGTGCCGCAGATACCTTTCGGAACACACTCCTCGGGGATCTGGTCACCCGTCTCTGCCATCATGCGGTACCAGCCTGTTAAAAACTCGCCTTTTCTGTCACATTTGTACTTTGAGCCTGGTTGGTTCTTATAGCCCATAGCGCGATCGCCTTCATCTAGTTTCTGGTACTGGTCACTTTGACATTCTAAATGTGTCCCTAATGGTTGGAAAAGTACGTATGCATAGTATCAGCCACCTTGGTTGCTCAGCAAGGAGCGGAAGCAACTTTATGATGTAGGATACTGTACCATTTCGGAAGGTAACCTCAAAGCGAAAACTGTTTTTGATTTATAGCAACGATTTCGTTAAAAACTTGTTGATTTGATGGAGAATGCGCGACCAAATCGACGTCTGCGTTTATTCATACAGACAATCAAAAGTGTTATATCCAGCTAACGCCTAGATTTGTCAGAAATAATTTCTTACGGAAATATTAAATCAAAACTAAGAGGATAATTAGATCATCTTTCCTCGATAAAATATATCACTATAGCTGTGAATACAGTGAAATCCCAATTTCTCGAATCCTCGAATTTTCGAACCTCCAGATCATGACACGAGCTAAAACCAGCCATAAGTCGTTTCTCTCCCCTCAGTCGAACACTGTAATTTTACCCCCCGATTTCTCGACTGACTACATGATTTTTCAAACTAATTTTCGTTTCCCTTGGAGGTTCGAAAAGTTGACCATTTCCAAGTTGCATTTTGCCTCTGTTTTAAAACGAGTTCTCGTGTGAAACCATTCAAAGTGAAATGCTTCCCCTTAAAGGTTCATTTTCATAGAAATTGATCAAACTCATTTTCATTTGAAACGTCTTGCACGAGGACTCGTTTTGAAACAAAGGCATCAGGTAACTCGGAAATGGCGTATTGGGTTCCCCAATAATTAATCTGGAAACCACCTCTGAGTACCTAAATAACACCGGGATGTAGGCCTGACAGAGGTTCTCAGGGAATCACGATTTCTTCTCACTGAGCTGTAGAAGTCACGCCATCTAACCACTATACCGCCCGTGCCTACATCACACCTGCTGGCTTCTTCCGTAATCTCGCTTTCTGCCAACACTCTGTTCCATAAATAGAAACCTATCATTTCTACGTTTTCCGCTCTGCCACCCCTTCCAAGTTGCAACTCCCCACCTGCAGTTCTTGTACCTGCAAGACATTGTTGATATTTAACTTGTTTTCCATCCTTGTAGTAACTCATGTATCCTGAATTGGCTGATCTGTCCCACGGAAGGCAGCTGTGATGCCAAAGACCACCCATCAGATCAGAAGCTGCGAAGTTGCTGTAATATTTAACACATAAAATGAATGAATGAATGAATGACTGATTGATTCATTGATTCATTGATTGATTGAATGAATGAATGAATGAATGAATGAATGATTGATTGATTGATTGATTGATTGATTGATTGATTGAATGAATGAATGAATGAATGAAAGAAAGAATGAATGAATGAATGAATGAAAGAATGAATGAATGAATGAATGAATGAATGAATGAATGAATGAATGAATGAATGAATGAATGAATGAATGAATGAATGACAGAAAGATCTCGAGTGTAGAGATGTTCAAAGCACTCCTTGCCGAGAACGGCACATTATTCTAACCGCGGACAAATCACTAATTGGACTGTTTAGCAACAGCAGACGCTACAATCAACTAACAGTGCGCTAATCCATGGACCAAAAGTCCGAAAGATGCCTACCTCTAACAAATGAATAACCTTATGCCTTTATTCAAAAACACGCCGAAATAATAATCGTTTTGGACAACGAAAGTATAAAAACGTAAGAAGGTACATTCAATTGATGAAAAGATTTATCTCTTATGTGGTGCTACATCAGTAACTAACTTACCATGTGGGCGCACTGTTTCCAATTCCAAAGACCAGCTCATTATCATCATTAAGTCCAACGAAGAAGATGTTTGTCGTCAATTTATCGGACGGGTCCAAGTCATAGGCACTGAGGTACATCTGTTTATTTGCACTGGCATCGCACTGAGTCCCAGGCTTCAGCCGCATACACACGGTCATTTCTGACAGCTCTGGAATATCTTCAACCTTGATGGCGTTCATTTGTAAAGACGGCTTAATCACGACACTCAAAAGTTCTTATCGCTGCAAAGTCAGACAGAAATTGTTAAACATTGTGGTGTAGGAAGATTGGCCTGCATCACCTCGTTCCCAGACTCTCTCTTCTTCTGCTTTCTTTCCAGGGGAAGAGAGACCCTTGGAAAAAAGGTTGGACTGAGGTAACTTCTGCTTTACCAGCAGCTGGCATTACATGCATTACTGCCAAAACCAATGGCGAAAGTTTTATGATGTTACTTGTGTGTCTGCACGTTTGAAAACGGTGTTATTGACAGTGTCAATCTTTTAGCCACTGGTTACAACGAGTATCACTGCTTGCCTTGGTGTCATTGCATGGTGACATTAAATGCATAAATGCTAGCGTACCTGGCATAGCTTGGGATTACGCGTGACGACAGTGGCATCGAACGCATAACATCTGGCATTGCTAGAATTGTATACATTGCGGGCATTATACGAACTGTTGCCTGTATTCCTGGCATCTCGCTATATGCATAACAGTCGGCACTGCTGTTGCGCCCGGCTTGCGTTTCTAATAAATTTTACGAAATGGTGAATCACGAACTGATCTAGAAGTCTTCTGACAGCTTGTCGTTTCTCTTAGGGTCCAAAGATTGTGTTTATTCGCGAACGCGAATGCAAAGGGGCAGTATGGACATTGGGATTGATGCTTATGAGTGCTGCGCCCATGTCCCGTCCCAATCCCCGACGAATTTCGAGAGAAAGACAGACTGCTAGCAGTCTACTGATCTAGAGAAAATCGACGCGTAAATAGAAATAGAGCACTCTGTAACCGACGTAAGTCAATTGGTAAATCAACACTTACGTTTTCGACTACACATCTTTCTCCCCAAGTACGGCACACCCACAAGGTGAAGATTATCATACGACGAGAGACCTATGGAGCAGACAGGAGACGTAAATTCTCTGCTTTAACCTCGATAGCGGTTGTTGCTAAATGCAGTTCCAGTTACTCAAAATGCGTCATTTTCATAGGTTAGATTTTACCAATGGGATTTAATGTTTATTGTAGTTATTTTATAAATTGTAAGTACAAATAAATGGTTGTTGTTGTTGTTGATGTTACCATTTGATTTGATTTGATTTGATTTGATTCTTTGCGTTTGTCCGGTCCCTTAAAAAGTGCAAATAAAAACGCTTGTGTTGCCCTGAACTGATCAGTTGTCAGTGCAATTTATGTTCGTCATTTCGTCCTGTCTCTGAGTTGGAAAAAAATGAAGAGCATGTTTGGATTATCACTGAACAACACTAGACATATACTTACGCAGAGGAACAAGAGACATCAAGAAAATAACGGCTTCATTGAGGCCTTTCATTTTCAAGCAAACAATGATAAACATAATCAATCGACATCTTTGCTATTGTAAAATACTAAGCAAGTTCAATGACAGGAGGAATCTTGCAACAATTAGGGGTTCAGTCAAAGAAAGATAAAGCTAGTGTACTTTTGAGGGAGTGGAAGAAAAATATTTTCAAAAAACTTGGGCGCTTGGAAGACTACAAATGGTGTGCAGAACTGCTCGAGGAGCTACAGTGCAATCTGGTTATAAGCACTGAAACACTCATTTTCGCCCACTTTTTCTCCTGCTACCGTTGAACAATGTTAAAAAACAATTAAGGATTAAGGGATGTGTTTTATAAGGCACATTTATTTCACGTTAGAGGGTGCATTTATGGCGAGGAACAATAAATATTGCTTATTTATGTCATTTTAAGCTAGGCTAGAAACTCTCTCCCAAGTGACGGCAGCTTCGGTGATCAGCTTTGGTCAAAATTAAATAAATGTTCGTTAAGTTTGGACCGGGGTGTGTTAGGGTTAGAAGTTAATCTGTTTCAACGAGGACAGTTGAATTGGAAGCCAGAGAGGCGTTACTTTTAACGCTAATGGAGGATTAATGATTATGTTTCCTGATTTCAAAGCGTAACATCATATTTCGAATGCATAAGAAAGGTCAATGTTCTATGTCACAATGCATCTTCTTATTCAGTGTTAGTTAACAATTGTACACCGAAGTTTTCAAATCTAGCTTGTTTGTACATTAAAATATAGTTAAATTTATGGTCAACCCAAAAACAAATTTCATTGAAAATTCTATTATGTTTTTTGCTCCGACTTCCATACAGTTAGTCAATCATTACCTGTAAAGTAAGTACTTCTTTTGTTTACCCATAAACAGGTGTACTTGGTTGACTATACCAGGGAGAAAGCTAGAAGTGTTGTCGTTTTTGATCTTCTATACATCTATCATTAACAGCTGAAACTCAGCCACTAAGTTGCTCACTGGCAATGTTCGGTTTGGCAAACAGAACCTTAGTTTTTCTTGAAATGACTCAGAGCTAAGACCTATAATAATCATTTTTACTCTACTGACACGGTGCCTCTTTGTGCCTCTTTGCAAACAAAAAGGTTCCAGCTGGTTGATCTCGCAGATTTGTGTTTTTCTATTTACAATTATCCCTTATCGCTTAGTGTAATCAGCAACAAAAGCAAAATGTATCATATAAGAACTTAAAACAGTTCTTGTACGTTTATAAATTTAATCGAACATCAAAAAGACGGCAAGACAATGTGTTTTTTTATTTGAAAATTATACGATTTGAAATTTTGAAGCCCAAAACACTCTTGAAGATTGTTTCAGTTTTGACTCGCATCTGCACTTAGTCGTGATTTTTGAAACAGAATCCATGAAACGTAAATCGAAACAAACTTTGTTTAAATTTGTTCCCGGCAATCTTAAAAGGTCAAATATCATGTAGTGGGAAAAAGCCTGAAATCACCGTTGCATTTTCGTTATATGTACGTTATTTGGATCGCTTTCTATTTGCCATATTCATCCTGGTGTTCTCTTCTACATCAGTTTGTTATTACAACTTTGATGACA